AAAGGAGAATAGAGTCCTGTCTAGGTTCGGTTTTCTATTGCACTTTCGTCTCGGATCCAAGTTCTATTTGGACTTTCGATCCCAACTTTTCTTATTGATACTCATACAAAAGCCTATTTTTGTAAATAGTTCGTGCACTGCGTGGTGCTCAACAGGGTGAGATGACGCTGAGCACTTTGTTTGGATCTCTTTTAGAAGTGTTGCTCAAATAGTGCAATGTAATTTCGACGTTTGTGTTGATTACAATATACGCATTGGAAAATCGATATGTTTCTCATTCTGTCCAATAAATCTCAATCATAATATTAAAGCGATTCATGTTTCTTCTCATCTATTTTAGTTCATTTCTATACTCGTAGGATTTATGCACAAAAAAATACAATTTTTCTTTGCCATGAATAATTTGTTGTATGACTGATCATTTGGAAAACTCGGTTGCCGAAAATCTACCAATATTTCCACAATATATCGAAACTGAAGAGTTCTCAGCACAAAATAACATTCTAGAACCACACGGTAACTCTACAAAATATCGACAGTCATTTTCTTCAATATCGTCCTCAATTTTCGAAAAACTAAGAGTATGTTTAATAGTCTCGTGAATATTACTTAGAACCAGGTAGTCAATATATTTTTAATAACGAATAGAAATAGTACTCAAGTATAAGATGTTTGACAAATGAGTAGTTTCCATGTAGGAAAATACATTGCTGTCATGAGATGGCTGGAGAAACTAAATGAAATCATTGCGCGATTCTCCATGACTAGGTGTGAAGCTCTCATTGTTATCTTGTCTCAAGTTCATTTGATCCAAGAGATTAAACATTTTTAAACGACTGTTTCACATGAAATAGCTTCGTCATTAATGTTTATGTATAGATCCTGAAAAAATAGAATACAATACTCTACTTATCAATTAGATATTGATACAACTATTAATCTGGACAAAGTTTTTATGATACTTACTATCTTTCGAAATTTGGTGTGAATTTGAGTATAGTTGATGGTATTCTCTTTGCCTACTCCAATACACTCCACCCATAAACATATTCATTTCGAGTCACCTGATTTTATGAGTCTCTTATTACTAATTTGGAAGTTATTCTTCAATTAAGCATCTTTCGTTTATAAATTCCTTCCATTTTACTAATGCAAGAAAAAAATCGCAATATATTAATGCAAATGATTTCATAAAGGATTGAAATTATATGATATTCATCGATTACGAATCAACTATAACAAAACAAATCAAAATTATCATTTTTGAGTGAGTATTTCTACTAAATATGACTACAATACTAGAAGAAAAAAAAGGCAATTTAAATTACTCTAAAACCAATCTAAACTGTATTAATCATTCAAAACCATTTAAAATCAACTAGAATTCTTCAAAGCTGATAAAGAATCTAAAGCTATTTTTGCCAAATTTTTTTTACTTTAAAGTAATTTTGATTGACTTTTGGTAAGTTACTGATTCTAGGTGATTTTAGTGTAATCGTTAGTTGCATAGCAATTACATATAACTGATTTAAAAGTAATAGGTAGGTATATTGAGAAGTGTTTGTGTACAGCTTACCTGATTGTTGAGTTGTGATCACATTTGTTATTAATGGTGTTGGTGATGGTGACATTGCCGTTGGTGATGGTGACATTGCCATTGATGATGGTGACATTGCCGTTGGTGATGGTGACATTGCCGTTGATGATGGTGACATTGCCGTTGATGATGGTGACATTGCCGTTGGTGATGGTGATGTTGCCATAGTGATATCCTGCTTCTTTGGTGCAAGTATGACGAATTTCAATACCAAAGAGAGTATAATTGCAAGCATTGTTAGAACGATAAAGCAGATGCAAATGATCACAAACCAACGACGATGCCACCATTTGCGTGGTCCATTATTTTCATTGACTTGTTGACTGAACATCAAGTTGTTACATATATTATATTCTATAAGAAACTTAAACTAAAATAATTAGAAACAGTAAGATCATTTAGTTATTTAGAATTCGTGTAGACGAATAAATTCTCCCTCACAACGACTATCAAACATTCTATAAAGAAGACTAAAAGTTCATATACTGAATTAAGATGACCAAAGAGAAATTGAATGGTTTCAACTGACAAGTTGAACCTATGTTTCTTTGCCTATTACTTTCTTTCCTCCTCCCTACTGAATATCTCTCACCAAAGGTTTCTAGAACGTAAGTTCAGAGTGGGTTTAACAATAGCACATAGATGCACAACTATAGGGACACGTGAGTGAATTAATAGAATATCCCTTTTCGATCTAGGTGATTCGTTATTTTATAACGATCTTTTCTATTGGGATGTCATTATGAATAAAGAAAAGAAACAACAAAGAAATTATGCTGAACAAAAGATGAATTTGGAACATCTCTCTAGCCTATTCAGAATGAGAAAAATGATTGATAAGCATGAGTCAATTGTAATCCGCTGATTCCAATTCATCGAAAGTCATTCCTAATAAGAAAATAGATTAGTTTAGTGCGCGAGTTCGTCTCTGCTTTTTAACAACACTACCTTCTCACTCCATCTTAATATCGTTTATGGCTTATGTTCCAGAGATTTTTTGTCATTTATGTTTGATAGAAGAAATGAATTAGCATATGGTCCGCCTTTTATCTACTTACATTTCTTTTTGTCCTATTTATCTTTTCCGTTTGTTTTATTATTGATATTATACCATTTTTCCTTTCTCTCTTCTCTTCCTCCCTGTTATTATGTTTTCTTTAAGCGTCAAAAAAACGTCATAAAATAAGACTTACTCCAAAACAAAAACTATTTTTTTTAATCTTTTCACAGACAGATGCCTCTTAGGTATGATGGTGTAAGTACGGAACCAACTCTACGACCTAATTTTGATCTTGCTCAAGAATCTCATTAGATGGTTAGTCGATCTCAATCCTGACTAGCTAATCGTTGGGAATGGCTTGAGACAAGCTACTGCAGTACAAGTGTATTTCACATTTATCTTTATTTTATTTCTTTTACTTTATGAAGAATATATCTAAAATGGAAAGGAAGATGAATTTATAAATATATAATTGGATAGCTTTTAAATTGTTGCAAATAAATTTAGTAATTCTGAATACTTATAGATGTTCTCTGTGGTATTAGCTCGAGATACAGTTTTCGATGTTTGTGTCAATATTGCATTGAACTATACTTGTTTGATGATTTTTGATGATAGTTATGATAGTATCAATAGTTGGTGGCTTTTGAAAGGACTTGTGTCCAATTAAACAAAATCTCCAAGAGCTAAACACGTGTTAACACATTAAGATTTCGTTATAATGCCATTTTAACGATAAACTGCTCTAAAAATGCATTTTTGTTCGTTTTACTTGAATTGGTTTTATTATATTAATCAATAACTCATGTATTTGTATTTTTTCGATGAGATTACATATATTCAATCTGAGTTACTTTATTGAACACAATTAATCGTTCAATATTTTGCAACAGGAGAACACATTTTCTATGATAATGATTATCAATAACTATTTAATTATACATTGAAATGACGTATGATAGACATGAAAACTATTTCGGAAGGTCATAATATCATAATAGAATGATAAAGTTATTGCAACAAAATCGTTAACTTATTCTCTTCAAGTAGATAGACAAGGTTCATAATAATATGAACATGCATTTTCGCGATAGTAAAAGTATTTGACTTATTCTTTTAATCGTGAAATGATTACCATAATATAGATATTTGTTTTGTATGATTTATCAGAAAAAATTAAAGTTGATCATATATCTATTTGATAGTTGACTTCATTCTAGCAACTTTTTATCTTTCTTGAGCCTAAGTTAATTATTGTGCTTTCTGTGTTTGCCTATTTAGCATTGAGTAAAACAACAAAACTAGGCAGCAAGCCTGAGTATATTTTCCTTCTGTTGTTGTAATTTCTTTGTACACTACATGTCAATGATAAACTACCATCTGTTATTTGTGATCATTTTACAGATTTGGTTGAAGAGCCTCCAGAAATGATCAACAGTACTAGTTGTATAATAAAGTAACAGGGGAAAATGACACAGCTCATGTACAAATGTTGAAAAGGAGAAAAACGCATTTTTTTGTTGTAAGTTTTATTAGTCTAATCTCTGTTGACGATGTTCTTTAAGTTTTCATCAGACACAATCTCTCTAGGACTACGCAGCATAATGGATAATCTAGTTCTAAATATGTTTGAATTCCTTACATTGTCATTACGAGCAAATATTTCAGAGCTAAAAAAATCCATTTGGATGAATCAATGCACTTTGAATACGTTGAAACGTCTTTTTTCGTTTTTTTTGTCAAGTTTTTAAAAATAGAATTTCCTATTCTTTTTCCCATCTGTTTATTATTTCTTTTCACGTTTTCGTAGTTTTTTATTCCCTGACGTTATTTCATATTTTTTGTCGTATTCATGTTTTAGTTTTTATTTCAATCGCAAATCGTTGCTTTGAGATATTTGTCTGATGTCGCTTAGTGAATTGTTTCTCCTTCTATATAGTTAGTAAGAGTTTTACTTAGCTCATGGATAGATAGACATCCTTATGATCTCTGAACTTGCATAAATTCTTTGTCTCAAATAAAATGATTGAGTATTATTTGAAATCAATCAACTATGTGAGTTATTCATTCTTTTTTTATTTGCATTACCCAGAAAAGACAAGAAATAGCCTTCGTCTATGAATTTTCTCCATTCACGCTATGAAAGATAACAAAATAACGAATAATGAAAGCGAATAATTATTAGTCAGGGTATGGGTGTTACTCTAGCGAACGAATCGGTCCACATCCACACCCATACACACCCTCAAGCAATATTTTAGTAATCTTTATTTATTTAAAAAATCTACTAAATGAAAAATAATTGCATACACTTTTCTATGCACAATGGACAATTAACAAATATAAATATGAAAACAAAACAAGATTTACATTCATAAATCAGATACTATTTGGAGTTCCATTTTAATGTTCAAATTTTCTTGATACATTAGCTTCATGCATCAATCGAATAATATCTTTTCGAGTTAAAATGCCTTGAAGACGACTAAAAAGAAAAATATTTTTATTTATAATATCAAGTAAAAAACAAATATTTGTTTTCACAACCCATTTTTCGAGCCAAATATTTGTCGACAACCTAATTTTTTAAACATATCTACATCAGCTTCCACCAGTGTTTTATCTGTTACAATAATCGGTGCTCTATCAACTAATCTATGGAATTGTAAAATTCTTGATACTTGTAATGCTAATAATGCTCTATGCATTCCTAATGATGATGGTTGATCTGATTTATTTAATAAATTTGACATTGATACAACTGAAACTTTTCGATTAAGTGCAGGTCTTGATTGTGCCAATGTTAATTGTGTTTTTCGTGATTTAAGTACAGCTAATAAATCACGTATTTGAACTTGACTAACAATACAAGGAAAATCTTCACTAATAACAACAGAATAAATTAAGTGTGGATGACGACGAACAAGTGTATCAATTTGAGCTATTGTCATAGTATCTTGGACAACACATGATAATGGACTTGATTCACCTGAACGATTTGCACGTATTGCTTCAGTAGTTTTTAAAGTAAATCGAAAACTTTCACGATTTTCTAAATAAAACATTAAATAAAAAAATTCATTTTTCTTTTTGTCTTCTTAGCTAAATATGAATAACAATTTAATTTAACATTTTCCTCATAAATTCCTTCACCAAATGCATCTCCAAACCTTTTTTCTATTAATGCTGTAACTATTAATGAAACTTAATAGGATAAATCACGATTAACTTCACTCATAATAACAACAAGAGAAACAGTCATTCGATTAACTCTACCTAAATATGCACATGCATTAACAACTGCATATCATTCAGGTGTAATGCAATGTTCATTAGAAACTTCACATTCATGTCTTAATATAGCTAAATATTGATTTTTATATGCTATTTGTTCTGTTATAACACTAATAAGACGACCAGCAATAGCTTCAGTTGAAATTCTTGGAAGAATTAAACCTAATGGAATTTTTGTACCAATTGTTAACCCTTTGCTCCAAATGTCCATGCTTGTGGACATTGGCAGAATTATTATTAAACAAAATCGAAGCATTTTATTCAAAACCAACTATATAATGATTGTAGAGAATTTCACGAGCTATCGATTATTTAACAGAAAACTCATTTTACCGAGCTTTCAGTTGGGATATTTAAAATATAAAATAGAAAATTTTTTCATTGCTGAAATATTTTTTCAAGTGTTTGCGCTCTCTAACGTTTGAAGGGTTTGGGTGTGGGTGTTGGTGTGAATATCGAGGACAGACATCTTAACACTCACACCCTGAATTTCTAGAATTTCTAAAATTTTTTGAATTTTTCGAATTACCAATTTCTGGATCGTGGTTATATCTCGTAGTCTAAAACTTTATGGTGCCCTAAATAGCTTATATCGAGGTGGGATTCCTCTCTAAGTGTCCTCTCGACTACGCCATTAGAGAGTAAATAGACGACTAACATTCACCACTCCATGCTCATACCGATATCTACAACCTCAAGAATCTTAAAAAATTAGTATAACCAAAATATTTATTTGACTTTAATTATGATTAGTACATAGTTAGTGTTTTTTTTCGCAACAGTATTCTAGGAAATTAGATAAATTACTAACGGAATTTAGCATCATCCGTCTCTTGTTCTTCATCATCATAATTGAGCAATTCATTTGTTCGGTCCCGACTGTAAATGGTCTATGATACTTTCCTTTTCGGCGATCTTCGTTGGCTACAACTATAATGATGCCCGGGTGTAGTCATTCTCTCATTTTGTTGTTGATATGCATCATTAAAAGTATCATGATTTACGAGTAATGATGTAGAACTTGCTGACATGCCACAGTTAACAAATGTCTTGCTTTGATTGATTGTTATTTTCTTGGGAACATCATCTTTCATTTTATATTTATCCAATGTCTGAGGCGAAAATTGTTTGACAAGATTTTGAACAGAAACTCTGAGGTCAAGATCAGTTCGCTCAAATGTATCATATTTTGCTATAAATAGAGAAACAGACCATTGATGGACACTGATATAAAATGTTCTAGTATTCACATATACCTTTGTCATTTTGTGTACGAGAAGAATAAGTGCGCGGTGGAGATGATGACTGTAAGCGAAACACATTTTCTACTTCTATTGATTTATGTGAATTTTGTAATTGAAATTGTTTACCAACTGTTTTACAAATACGGTTGTATAATTGAAATGCTTTTTCTTCGAAATTTTTTATATGATAAAAATCAAGCCATAATAAACCGGCTGTTATGAAACCTGAAGAAGAAATCAAAAGAATCAGGATTGCTGCTGTTTCTACAACATTTATTACCTAACCAACTTGTCGGATTCCAATCCTCTTGTAACTTCAATGGTATGATTGGTATGTTACATTGCTTGGCATATTGAAGTTCTTGTTTACAAAAATCGGACTCTTGATAGTCTGGTGTCATAAAACATACGAAGCAAGAAGAATTTTCAATTGCTTTGGCAATACTAAACAAAGTAATCTTAGACTAAATAACATCTTGCTAGTAAATTTTCCTACCCTTCATATAAATTATCTGAAGGAATACCAGCTTTAATATCCATCCATACTGGTACTTGTTTTGCAACTAGATAATCATAAATCGATAGGACTAAGCTCTGCACTTCCCATTCATAAGATAACATAACATGTTTCTGTTGTTGCTGTTGTGGCATATTCTGGTTTCACGTTTTTTTAAAAATATTACTCTTAAAGAAGAAAGAAATAAAGAATGAAGAAGAAAAAGAAATAAAGAAAGAGGTAATCATTTTCTTTTGATTTATTCCACCTCTTTGCAGTGTTGGCTTTTTCCCAATGTAAATAAAATGACTCATAATGCGCATTAACAAATAATTCATGTTGAAGGAAAATGCCAAATTAACACCACAGCGTTGAATTCTGAAGCACTATAAGTGAATTTCTGATATTTTCAGACAAACTAGGCCATGAATAATACCAAAACTAAATATTAGGAGAAGTTCATGAAAATCTCAAATATTGCGAAAAAAAAGGATGAATTTTTTATTTTGAATTGAGTAATTTATGTAGGTAGCCAACTTTATAGTACGCTCGAATTCAGAATAGTGCGCTCTTAAACATTGTTGTTGATCGGCTAAGACCTATTTATTGAATGGACATCGTTTAATGCCTATAAAAACGAAAGAAGGTGTAGATGTGGGCGCCTACTATACACTCACACCCTTTGGTTTAGCAGCTCGCTAAACCTTTTTTTAAGTTCAGTACTAAACCATTTTTTTTTAGAGTGTAAGAAGCATATCTCTATTGATTTTCATGATAATATAAGTAAAACTCCATTTAGATCTCAGTCATGTGGTGGAAATAGGCTAAATCTGCTTCAGTAAAAGAAAATGGCAACGTGGTCGTCTTCTGAAAACTCAACAACCCTCGGTGATGTTGATATGAATATCAAGAAAATGCTTTCTTGTACCGGTCAATCAGCGAGATGCTGCAACATTATTACCAATAATTGAAGATCATGTTTGACCAGATAATGTTTATATGATTAGTGCGTTATTTATTAGGAATAATAATCCATTCTTATGAATGGAAAGCTTGTCGAGTTCTACAAACCAATTCTGATTACCAGCATTCAAATGCTAACCATTCTGTCAATTTCATCAATCCCAACACTGGTGCACATACCTAGAATATAGAAAATACTTGGATACTAGTAAACAGATAACATAAAAAAGAAAGTGGATTCAGCCGATCATTACTTCAATCATATCTAGAAGAGTTCATGTAGAAACCAGAATTTGGTAATGAATCTTCAAAAAAATTGAATTTTACAAATTAATTCGTTTTATCCTGTTCAATGCTTTCTTTTCAATAAAACTCATTCCCTCATATATGAAATCTTTTTTGAATATTCCTTGTCTCTCTTAATAGTGGTGTGCTTGCTAGTTGATACTTTTTTTTTCTTGTTCTGTCTTTATATATAGAAATAATTGGGTTGTGCTTGTTCTGTACATGTATCAGAACAAGAAAGTATGTTATGAACAGCTGATGTATTATGTCAGGTTTTAAGAAAAATGTTTGATCTAACTTTCATATTTGTAAACCGAATCAATACTTGATGTATTCAAATAGGCTTTTCTAATGAATATTATTCTTCAATAAACAACAAATGTACGATAGCTCGACACTAGTACAGATTTTAAGAATGTTTCAAACGTTCAGTTCTTGATACACTGATCTATTTTAATTCAAGAGCTGCGAGTGTTTCTTGACTTGGCAGAGTTCGAGCTCATACCCAACTTGAATTTCAGATTCGATTTGTATTCAGTTTCGAATCTTAATAGAAAAGAGTTGAAGTCAACCTACCCAAATATAACACTTTGGCTACGGTTTAACTTTAGAATGAGTATTTTCTAAGAAGAGCCATTAAATGATTAAAATCTTGATGATACATTCAATCATATACACAGAAGATGCCTAATATTAGTGAAAAAACTTGAATATAGATCTAATAGGGTCCAAATCTGTATCTGTCGGATGTGGGTGTGAGTAATTGCCGTTTTGTAATAAACGATGAAGACTTATTCGATTAAAACAAATCTGTTTATTGTCATTACCATGATGTTCTTTTAGTAAGATACTATGGATAACAATTGAATGAAATTCAGAAAACTAAGATCACCCCAAATTCATCTTTTCTTATCATATTGAAACGGAAATCTAATGTAATGTTGTCATTGTCGACACAGGCCCTTTTTACTCAAAGCTTACAATGCGCTCCCACTCGAAATATCAATTTACTTTGGATTAAATCTTGTACTTTTTATCTGCTAATTGATATCGTAGGTCGAGAGAAAAGTCACATATTTAGTTTTAGTCATTGGGTCGAATTTCGTTGATGATTAAGAAAATAGGAAGCATTTGTTTTATCGAGAAGCTTAGTGAGACTCTTATAAAAGTACGAAGTTTCACACGTAGTGTCATTGATTCTCAAGTCACAAGCATTGTAATTTTCATTTGGATAAAGTACAATGTTTGTTGCAGTGATCATTCTACTTACTTCACTAAGAGGTCTCATGAGCCAAGCCATGTTCGATCCACCATCATTTAATCAGAATAGTTGTACGAGCTACAACGAATGGACAATCTGGTTTGATACATCTGATCCAAATTTGTCGCAAGGTGAATTCGAAGTGACCAATCATATTCAACGACTATTTCCAAGTTTCATGTGTCCTGATCCGATTGCCATCGAAGTAAGTTCAATGTCACATGCACACAAGCTTCTACTTTTGTAAAACACGATTGAAAATAAGTATTGAAGTATATAACTAGAAAAGTGAAAAATTGTTCCCCCTACCTGTTGCCGGTCTGCTCTATAGATTGTGACAGACAGACAGAATGATAGTTCATCTGACTCCCAGACATGATATGATGAACGTAGGTAGGGCTGTCATTTCCGAGTGAACGATTCTATCGTGGTTCATATTTGAATCCATAGGGATTACACTGAACGTTTTTCTTCTAGGTTCGAACACTAGTTGATGGTGATCCAACAAAAACCGGTGATATCTTTCGTCTCACCAAAGCGGACGGTTTCTTGTGTTTGAATCAACAAGTCGTCAATTACAAAACAAAACTGTGCACCGATTACAAGGTTCGCTATTGCTGTCCCAAAACCAGCATTGGACAACCAATGACGACGACAATGCCACCAGTAATTACTATGACAAATCCGACGACGACAAGCACTTGTGGTCGTCAAGTAGTTACTCCATCATATCAACGCATTGTTGGTGGTGTCGAAGCCATTGCTCATTCGTGGCCGTGGATTGTTTCTTTGCAATCAGACGATCATTTCTGTGGTGGTACACTGATTGATAATCGACACGTGCTCACGGCCGCACATTGCATAGACTCGACAAATTTTCGAGTCATTGCTGGCTTGCATCATCGAACCAATATCAACGGACCGCGCTCGCAAATCCTTCGTGTTTCGCGCATCTTCATCCATGAACAATACAATAAGAACACTGAAGCCCACGATATTGCATTGATTCGTCTTGCGCAACCGGCACAATTCAATGACTATGTCAATGCAATTTGTTTACCCGGGCCCGATCCTCAAGAATCTCAACGTGTCACAGTGGCAGGCTGGGGTGTTCTATCATCAGGTGGGAACAGCGCCATTTCACTCCGTCAGGTCACTGTCAATGTAATGAATAATCAAGCGCAAATGGCGTATGGGAGAAGATTCGATGTGCGACAACAGATCGGTGCCGGTATTCCGTACATTGGTGGAAAGGATAGTTGTCAAGGTGATAGTGGTGGTCCGTTGATGTACAATGTAAATAATCAGTGGTACCTTTCCGGTGTGGTCAGTTTTGGAGATGGTTGTGGTTCGGCAAACTATCCGGGTATTTACACTCGTACTAGTGCTTATCTCAATTGGATTCGAAGCAAAATTAATACTGTTTGATTGAAATGACGAACACTAATCGATATACTGAAATGATCGGAATTGCGGGTCTTGGTTTCATTAATCTTTGCTAAAATTTACTGTGTGTGGGTGTTGGATTACTATTTTTTGATGATTTATCTTGAAATAGAAGAATGCGACATGAGATAGCACATAAAAATTCATCTTAAAAAATTTGCTGTCATCTGAAATGAAAAGAAAATGATAAAATCAATTAGTACTTGTGTTTTGCCATGTTCCTCACTCTAGATCAATTAGAGAAATAATAATTGAAGAATTCCATCGGCTAAATCAATATAAAACATCGTAGAACACTAGTAGACCCATATCGAAGAGTCAACTCATGTTTCGTTATTTTTGAAATTATTTCTTTTAACGATCTCGAAATAAATTCTATATCGTTTCTCAGTATAAGCAACCCTGTTCTTCAAAATCATTCAGATATTCTAAGCCGATAGCATGAAAAGTGAATAAAACTGAACGATCAAGAAACAGCAATAACTACGTGGGTCATTCTGAAGGTTTTTAGATTCTTGATTAAATTTAATAGATATATACTAGTCTGGTAGTTGTGGTAGTAGACCCAAGTCTTAGAAGAAAGTCCACAAAGTTTTGGCTCTTGGACATTTCTTCTTTCGTTCTTTTGTATATTAAGTAATACACTAGGCTGGAAATAATATTTTGCCAGGTGGATATCGCTATAAATTTAAATAGAGTAAATATTACATTTTATACCAAACGAAAGCCCGTCAAAAATGGGATTTATTGGTACTAAACAATAAGAGTTTTGGAAAATTGCATACGTTGAAATGTCTAAATCTATGAAATTTCGCCGACCATAGGCATGAGAAAAGTTATTTCAATTTTCTAAATTTAGACATTATAACGTACCAAAGTTTCCAAAACTCTTATTGTTTAGTACCAATAAATCCCATTTTTGACGGGCTTTCGTTTGCTACAAAACTCATTATTTACTCTATTTAAAATTATAGTGGTGTCCCCTGGCAAAATATTATTTCCAGCCTAGTATGAATCTTACACAAGATCAAATTTGAGTTATAGTTTACTATGATCACGTCAACAAAACGAAAGAAAAAATGTCCAAGAGCCAAAACTTTGTTGACTTTCTTTTAATACTTGGGTCTACTACTACAACTATCAAACTCGTATATATCTATCAAATTTAATGAAGAATCTAAAAACTTTCAGAATGGCCCACGTATCGACAACAATTACATGGTCATCTCGATAAACGTGAATGAGAAGAAATTGAAATATTAAAAAAAAAAAACAAGTAAAAAAGAGATTTAACTAACTTTAATCATCGTTCTTTTTTCTATACTTTCAATCGGTTTTAACTTTACAAAAAGATTTAAAACAGCATAAAACATATTGGTCAACAACAATCAATTGTATAAGAGAACGTATTGAAATAATTAGAATATGAAAATACTGAATTAAAACAAGAAAAAGATATTATTGAACGTAAACGACTTGATTTTATGCATCAATTACAAACAGTTTCTAAACAACAATTACACGAAGATACATCATCATTATATCCACGATAATAAGAAAATCATTTGTTGAACTTCAACAAATCAAATAACATCAAAAAATCAATCATTACCAAAAGTTGTGGTTGTAAGAAATTCTGAATCACCAACGAAAACGAAAATAACATCAAATGGACGACGCACACCAACAACAATTGTTGGTGTTGAATTATCAGAAGCAATTAAATCAGTACTGATACCACCAATTATTGTATCAGAAAGGATGAGTAGACGAGAGAAAATATACAGATGAGGATGTTGATCCTATCTTATCTAAAGATAAGATTGAAAATATGATTCAATGACCATGAAAATATATTGATCTCTTGCATGTTCACTTTCCGAAATATGTGATACAAGTAGATTATAGCTAAATATTCTATAGTTTTAATCGAATTATCTTAATAAATCATATGAATAAAACAAAAAAAGGAAGTACTAAAGAATATTTTTAGATGAGATAAGAATAAATCCTGAAATATTTTTCTCTAAATCGAGACCAAAAAACCGTGGGCTCCTACATTTCTAGACATGGCCTATTTGATAGCCACCATGTATCGTCATAAAAAATACTTCTAAAAGAAATATATTACAATACTTAAGAAAAGAAATTTGCTACTATTTTTAATATCGGTGAAACATTTAGTTTTACCTATATGACAGTTCAATAGAACGAAAAAGAAGATTTGATCTTCTCATTATCCATAAACAATCGTATTTTATACAGTTCAGAGATGAGTATAGAACACGACGGTCCTATCTAGCCTTATGTTACAGGAGTACTGCTAGTATACTGGCGGATGTGCGAACGAACGATTAACATGTGTAAAGTTTCTATCCGATTTTGTAGCTCAGTAAGATAGGCAAAAACAGTACAAGAACGCGTCGATTTCTTTTGTTATCTTATATGCTTTACAGTGAATCAAATGAATTGATCGAACAAAGCACATACATTAAAATAATTCGCAAATTCTAAGATTATTCTTCACATATTCAATGATAAGGATACATTCACTATCAAGCCTTCTTTCACATTTACTTTTAAAGATAATATAAGACAGAAATCAATGCTTTATAGCTTCAGGCGACGACAAAAATTTATTTTTTTTGCTGTTTAGATCATTATTACCTATTGTCAATTGTGATTATCTAAAAATGTTCATCAACAATGATGAATCAAATCATCCAGCTACTCTTGATTATCACTCATTGTTAACCATGGCTACACGCGCATCATCATCATTGTCAGCAATAACACTTCTTCAACAACGTCAAGAAATACCTCGTGTTAGTATAGCATTTAAAGAAAAGATATGAATATCAACAAATAATTAATTCAATAATTGAAGAAATTCATCTCACAATGATGAACGTATTAAATCTGATCTAACTAAATAAATTCTATTCCAAATGATTCAAAACAAGAAATAACTTCCGATGGTAAATAAATACGTGTTTATTTTTATAATGGCGATTATAAAGAAAAATTATCTAATAGTCATTGTATACATAAATATACAAGTACAAATACAACTGAAATAGAATATCCAGATGGTACACATATATATGAATTTCCAAATAGACAAATTGAAAAACATTTACCTGATGTACAACAAGAACATATATTTATTTAACTGATGATACGATTAAATCAATGAAAGCCAATAGAGAAAAATTTATTCAATATCCAAATCAAACGAAAGAAGTTCATACAGATACATATAAGAGAAAATTATTTCCAAATGGTTCTATTTTAACAATATTTAGTACTGGTGAACAATAAGTACATTATATAAATGGAAAAGTTAAAATTAAAGATGCAAAAGGCAATATTATTCTGGACAAAAACACTCCAACACATGAGATTACTAAATAAAATTAAATATTTTTTTGTTTGTTCATTGTTTCTCAGGTAGCTATGTATGTTTGTGCTTGGATAATTTCTTTTTCTCGAAGCATGTCTGGTGAATAGAGAGACATATGTGTCAGATGAAGAATTTGATACTCTATGGAATGTTAGCTATCTTATTCATCGGACATACTTGTGAAAGGAGATATTCAATGTCCAATGAAGTACGATATCATCAGCTTTTGGTAATTTGGAGGACAAAAGAGAATTTCTACAAATTATTAAAGTATGTTCAGTTGATGCATTACATATAATTCGTTAGAGAATTAAATTCTGCATCTGACACACATGTCCAGATTCATCGGACGTGTTTGCATGATTTGTGAAAAATCAATCTTCGTTACAATTAGTTATTGATGATGATGTATTTAATTAAGGAAATCATTCATCTCAGATGCTTGTTCTGAAGACGGAAGTTATAATAATGTACTAGATTTTCATCGTTCATGCAATGTTGAAATTAAGTACTTCAAGAGATTTTCAAGATTTCAGTGTTGGGAAGTTTTTTTTCTTTTGGTTTACCAAGGATTTTCAGAGTTGCATGTATAAAATGATTAACGGGGGAAAACTGCAATATGTATTGAGTGAAACTTTCATGTGTTTCTTGCATTGCTAGGGTGAGTCATGGCCTACTTTTGTGTCCCTTATAATAGTATTTTAATCATTTTAGTTTTGTGATTCATGAATTTTTCGACCAATGAAATTTGTTTTTCTCGTTGTGTTGTGGTAGCTTCTTATCGGTGATGCAAACCCTTGTTCGCCTATATTTACAGTCATACCAACTCCCATATATTCACACCTAATATGACTCGATTAGCTTTGCTGATTCATTTAGTATCGTCATCTTCTTGCTGATAAATTTATTTACTTTCTTTCCGTCTGTCAATATCGATGATTCAGCATTCTTATTGACAAACGGATAATGAAATATGCGTCATACCTGACATCGACTTGGTCTTTCTTGTCATTGTAAGTTTTTTTCATCCGTTAAAGAAATTTACAACAGTCTTATCAGACGTTTTGCATCTTTCCATTACTATAATGGGTGGAAATTCTAGTAGATTTCAAAACCTTGCTAATACAAACGTGATTTCTGCTACTTGTACGCTCAATGGGGATGTACCTTCAAGTTACCATACAGTGTCTATTTGTGACAGCCTTCCGAAAGTCAATAAAGATTACAATTCGTATGAACAGTCTAAAAATTTGCCGGATGCCAATTATTGGGTGCGTTTTGTTGATAAGGATGCGGATCAAACACGCTACAAAGTTCAATACATAAATGCCAATGGACAGTGTAAGAAAATATTCGAATATGTTTGAATTAATTCAAAAGATTTTGATCATTTTTAGACACATACTTATGCTCAGATCATCCTGTATTCAGAGCCTTTCTTAGAGCCTATAATTCTCATGAAGATATTGTTTTATCTCCTGATGATATTTGGCTTATGATTTGTATCTATTTTTCCAAATACATCAATGAGAATAGTGAAAAATTGCGCACAATATTTGTTGATCACGATGGCAAGAAAATATTGACAATTTTTCAAACAGATATGGTCGAACCTGAGTACGTATTTGTTTACATCATTATTTTTGAAAACGAATTCTTGTTCTTATTTTTTTCGCATAGTTGGGACGATTTTCTTGAAAAGATGCGTCTATTAATGCGTAACAATGTGAAAAATGATGTTATCGATATACTTACCTCGAATTTTTCGACAACAACCAAAGTTGAATCATTACTTTCATGTGTTGCTATTATGGATACATTCAAACAATACTTTGAATATCAATGTGTAATAACAAAATGTGGCATTCGTAATGTACACTTCATGGGCACCTTAGACGACTGGAAATTGTTGCGTCATAAAACTGAACAATTACAAAATTTTACAACGTCTAGAAATGATAGTTTTGCTACTTATATTCAAGGATTATTGCCCATCATCGACAAATTCATTGAGACCTATCAAGGTAATGTTGACAATAAATTTTGGAACAAGATCATGGACATCAAACATTGGGGTGGAGGACGTTCAGGAAGGTAATGTGTGTCGTGTATCTAGATTCTAAATAGTCCTATAAAATATGCAAGTGCGATGTTTTTTTTTTGCAAAAAGAAAGCGGTAATCTAATCTCGATGGTTCTGTCGTTTCTTAAACTTTGAAAGATTTCTTTTATTTGTTTAGTAAATTAAAACGAAGATTTTATCTTCTTTTTCTTACAGTCCGGCTGGCACGAACGTGACCGGATGGTTTCTTCATCTTTGCTATGGATTACATGAGCAGAAAAAGTGTGATATTCAGCAGATTAGACTCAATGCACTTGTTGTGCCTGTTAAAGTTGAAAATGAACTGATCAATCAATCGAAAATGTGCTACATAGCTGGTGGTTTTCATGGAATTGAATCACGCGATGGTCGACATAAGCCGGTGATGAGTCTCGCTATTATGGATGACACGACTACTATCGGACCCTGTACTCGTAAATGATTGATTAATACTTCTTCGAATCGATTTGTGTAGAGAATTATACGTGTGTCTACTCATTTGTGAACATAAACTTGAAATTCAAAAACTATTAAATTCAATTTCGTTTGTTTTTTTGATTTAAACTATTCAGATAGAACATAATCTTAAGTTCCAATTTTTCTTTTTTTAAATTTTTAAAAAGTTTACGCATAACAACTTCAATAAAACTTATACATTTAGTTTTACTTTTAACGAGCTCCAATGCATAGAGTTTACCAAACATAGTTGTCATTAAGAATGTCATGAGCTTTTTTCTTTTAAATTTGAACGCACCATTTAATTGTCCTTATAACATGGAATCAAACATTGAATGAAGACAAACCAGTTGAGGTGCAAAACATTTATATACAAAAATAAAAAAACAGAAAATGGTATTCAAAACAACACTGATTTGAAATATGGATGTCAGTGAGCAACTTCTGTTCACGAACACAACCTCATCCATTCACTTTGCACACGTAATAAAAATTGAATTACGACTATAAATTTCAAAATAAAAAATAATTTTTTCTTATAATTTTTCAAAATGATTTATTTCGCTCTCATTGGTTAAATCTTAAAAATTTAACTATGAAATTTAATTGTTTCATAAAAAAAAGGAAAAAAAATTGTTAAATTCAAATCAACCGAAAATTTAAAATAATTTAATTTTAATTAAACTTAATTTTCTTTATGTTTGCCAATGAGAAGTAGCTGCTTGTAACATACCGAGTCTGAATAGAGAAGGAAATGGAAGATGAGGTCAAATTTCTATCACTGTATGATGTCTTTTAAAATAAAAATTGATTCTCTGAAGAAAAAAAATCAAGTATTTTTCTAATGATCGACTAGATAATCCAGTTAGAGGTGATGATATATAGCTATCACAATCACGATTTCATTCCTGCTAGAACACTCATCAAACTGTTTGAATCTATTAGAATTATTACTTTCTTATTTTTCTATGTGTGAAAATAGATGCAGTTGCCAGTAGTAAACTATATTTAACTGTTTTATTGAAACGATAAATGATCATAAAAGTGTACATATATTGTTTTTTTTTTCGAGTTCATATTTCATTCGTTTTCTATGTCAAGAACAATAACCGTCAAGACTTTCAGTCATTATTCGACGACTTTGACAGTAAGTTGAAATGATTCACTTCTTAGGAAAATTCTTTCAATAAACTTTTGAATAGTCGTTGTTAAATGACAATGTACATCTGTTACTTGGTCATGTTCAATGTTTAGATTAAAATTGATTTTGTTTAGAAGTATTTTCAGGTGTTCTGTTTCTTCAAATGAGCTGAACGTTGTTTGGCCCATCTTTCTTTCCAGAATTGAGTTATTGTTTCGACGGATTGAAGCTTATCTCTGTCAAAATTTGTGTTCTTTTTTAAAAGAAATTCTTTAGCATTGCTACCAGTCCAACCACAATAAATACCACGTTGATCACCGTGAAAGAAAAGTTGATTACTATCGATATGCAATTGTTGCACTAGAAATCGTAATGATTGCCATTTTGATTGTTTTTTAATATTGAATTTTGGATAATTTTCTTCCAAATACCGATATACTTTGTCCATAAATGACACTGGAATATGACTGGTTCCATATCCTTTTGTATAACCAATGAATTTCAATTGCTTGAGTCGATCATATTGAATAGATTTTCCATGAATCGATGTTGTTGTAATTAAAGCTAATGTATTCGAATATTTCATTTCATACATTTGATGAAGTTCTAAAGAAAATGCGAGCATAGCCAATAGTTTTCCACCACAAAAATCAAATCCGAACGGTTGTACAGGAATACAAATCGATAAATTAGCTGAATGATCACGAATGTGTTTCTTCAATTGGCCACGTTTTTTCTCATCAAAACCGATAAATTCATCTTTGAATTGGCTTTTCAATAGATCGGTTGTTAATTGGATAATGCCAAGAAAACGTTTCGAATATTTATCGTAAATCAAAACCGATAAAACACGACCAGGTGTTTCACATTGAGGCATTGATGAAATATTATGACGAATGAAATTGAATAAATCACGTTGATCTTCATTCTCTACAGGGATCAATTCTATTTGAATTTGTTCAACATCATCGTAAGATGATGAATTCCAAAGTAGATTCGAATAAAAATTGAGATCATTTTTTGGATGATAATTTGATTTTGTTTCTTCTTTATGTTTTTTCACTGACAATTGTTCAATATCTTGAAGAATTTCGCTTTTGAGATTCATCGTAAACATCGATTCTCGTTGAAAACAAATGTTTTTGAAATGTGAACTCAATAATGCTAGAGTTTTTATTTTTAAATTGATGTTATTTCGCAACAACAACTCAGTTTTTGTTAAGATCAACAAAACATTTTCTTCAGATTCACCTATGTCAATAATTTAACGAAGGAATTTTTTTTTTCTTCTTACATCAACCACTCTTGCGTCATTACGGAGAAATAACATAATAAATCTTTCGCAATTTGTTCTTCGAGAAATCAACTTATTCGATTGGTGAAATTATGTCTAAAAATTTCTTAGATTATTGTTTTTTTTTAAGACATGCCTTCCGTTTGGACAAATTTTCATTTGACAACGATCAAAAATTAATTAAATTAAGTTTAACTTTGATGAAATATGACATTGACCTGCAAAATTGGTTAAAGAATTTAAATTTAAAAGAAATGAATCATTCAATGAATATGAAAACGAAAAATAACTGTTCTTGAGATCAAGAAAATAACAACAACAATTTCTATAGTGACAAATATTGAATAACGAACGATGAATCATTGATGTTGACTCAGTACTTATTCATCGCATTGACCTGAAAAGGTTGAAATAATTGTTTCGAATTGATTTGCATTTTCTTGAAATGATTAATCACATCCAAAAGAAATCTCAAAAATGAACATCGAATTCGCTTTGATTTGATAAATTTTTTTTTCTATTCGGATTGATTTATTTGGACTTGTTCGTTCTCATTTTTGCTTATCAATGATTGAATCAAAAAATTTAATTCTTTGAAGAAAACTTGAATTTGATTTACGAAATATTTCGATATTTTCGATAAATTTATCTAATACTTCTTTGATTCTTGATTATCCTCATTTCGTTACATATTCTTCGACAATTGGCACAACCCATTGACCATCAACTAAAGTCAAACATTGATCTGAACAGATGAATAAAAGAATTAAGCAAGTGTTTCTTGATCATTCAACGAAAAAATTCATTGAGAACATTTGTTTTTGAATTTCTTTCAAAGTCATCATATCGTCGAAGTTAAAATCAATTATCGTTTTTGTTTCAATTGAAAATCAATCAAGTTGAAATCATTCGATTGAACTTCGAAGTAAAATATTTTTCGTTGATCGATCAAATCTGATCCAAGTTTGATTTTCAACCTATTGAAGAGATTTGTTCGTTGTATTTCGATCGAATTTATTTTCATTCAAATAATTTCTAATTAATCTAATATTTCAATTCGAGAAAAATTCTTCATACACGATCGAAGAAAAGAAACCTTCACCTTTTGATCAAATCAAACTTGATGAGAAAAATACAATATCTTCGTCTGAGTATGACATCTTACTCAAAAATACGAATGATTCACATTTGCATTTTCGTGAAGCCAATAACTCCAAAGAATTTCAATGATTCACCTGATGTCATCATTTGTTATTGAAACAAAATAAAACAAATTGACAAATCCAATATAGTATTAATAGACATTGAATGTCATTCAGTCAAAATCAAGTTGAAAAATGATCTGATTTAATGTTGAAAAAACGTTTGACGTCGTTGGAATCAATTAATCAATATTATAATTTATAATAATCTTCTCTTCGCCATTCAATTTGATGAAGATGATCAAGAATATGTTTTGAAACTTGACGAAGGATCAAAACAGAAACAGAAGTGACAACTCTAAAACTCATCAATCAATGGACTTCGATTTCTATTCCACGTGTTGTCGCTCTCCATAGCATCAACATCACGATTATTCAAATAATCTCTCCATGATCTGACCTGTTTTTAGTATTTGGATCTACGACTATGTCTACGTTTCGATGTGTATACCATCGTGCTTATACATGTTTCTCGTGAAGAAGGAAAGAGATGATTTCTTTCGCCCCATCTGAAGTAGATAACACAAAAAAAATTTTCTTTTGTTAATAAAATAATACTTATTGTTTACTTTGATGATCAGGTGACCTAAATCGAAGAAAAAAAATATTTTTATATAATGATACTTATTGTTGAAGTTTGTTGTCAAATCGCAAATTGGTAGCGATTTATTTTAATATCTGAAAAATCACTGATTAATCGTCAAACGTGACCCGATTTTTATGGCATAGGGAGAGAATAATCAAATAAATAAAACATGTTTGTGTGAATTACATTCGATCCTAGATCATTTTTAAATAGAGTGGGCACAATTTTTTTTTGAAATTTTAATCATGAAAAATAATAAGGAGAAGAAAACTCCAGATAATAATGAACGTTCTATTAGAAATATTTCGATAATATTCATTTATGAGAACAAATGCTTTTAAAACAGCTATATAGTTTGATCAAATTTTATTCGATTTATATAAACTTTTAATTCATAAATTTTTCAATGAAAAATTCTATAATGTTTTTTTTTTAATTAACCATTTTTATATTAAGGAAAATCGAATAAGTCTAATGTGTTATCAATAGAATTGCCTTTTGCTTAATTAGATGAATACGTTTATTTTCGTTCTTATCGTAGAAGTGTTATCAAACATGACGTATTATTTTTCATTTTTAAACTATAAAGAAAAATCCAATAAATAATAAGATGACGTAGGATGTATATATCTGTGACATATATATATATATATATTTATGATGAAATAGATCGTTAATCATACACCTAGAATATTTAAAGTTGGCCAGTTTTTAGAAAATCAATATGACAAGAATTTCTCCTTATTTTAAACATCCTTTCTAATTATTTACTATTGAGATGACAATAGTTAATTTTACTAATGAAGTCGAGCAATTAAACAAAAAGAACATGGTCAAGGCACGTAGAGTAGGGTATGGGTGTATAGGAGACACTCACAGCCACACACACCCTCTTCATCGAGTAACATGAATTGTTCATCACGAAAAAGATCTGCAATCTGCGTGATGACAGCATACGACTAATAATTATATGATCGACCGATTAACTATAAAAAGTTTGGAATTATTCTGAACAGTCTGTTCATGATGTTTGATTGATATATCATCTAATTCAGTATATTTTCTTTTTTGTGTTTTGGATACCTGTTTACGGCAAAAGAGACGCATTATCAATTGTCCTCTAGCTGTTTGCCACACAAAGTTCAAATAAACTTCTAAGGGTAGTATATAAATAAAAAATGTAACAGTTTGTGAAATAAAAATAAATAAATTCAGAGCGATGTGTAAATGAAGAAAACGATGCTGTTATGATTGAATACACTGATATATTAAATGTGCAAATATGAAATGTGGTAAATAGCAAACGATAATCAGTATTGATGGTATCAAATTTGATCGCTTGTCTTTAAGCCCATTGAGTGAGAATTTACAATATGACGAGGCGTCTTTTATAACACCTAGTCGCCAGAGTGTAATTATGAGACAAACAAAATGTATGAAGCATGGTAAAGCTAAATGCAATGTGGATAACCAATCATCAAGTGTATTCAACCATTTTTTATCATAATCAAATGTATACACGAAAGTATTAGGCTGTGCAAGATCTTGTAATGATTGTCGTCCAAATATTTCGTGAATATGCGCGCTCAAAACAATAATAGTCATGATGATCATGATTAGTAAAGTTCGTCTTCGTGCCCAAATACCTATAACTTCAATAAAGAAGACATGGAACAATAATCGTTCAAGTGTAATCGCTACACTTAACCATAGCCCCAAATGAATTAACATTGTACCAATAACCGGTGCAATATTACATGAATAAAATGTATAATTAGCGGAAGAATATTGATTAAATAACATTAATATTACATGTGATTAGAATTCTAAGGTAACAATCAAAGAGCACACAGAATATAATATTAAAAAATGGATATTATCTCCTTGAATTGGTTTTCATTTCTTATCTCTTACATCATGTAATAAAAAGACTTGTAAACTAAGTAAATTATTAATAATAGAAAATATTACTAGGAGACTAACTGCGAATACAAAAACTACTTGTTTGGTAGTTTTCTCCGCTATTTTGTAAGTAGTTTGAATTCCAGCTAACATAGCCGATGTAAGTGATAATGGAATAATGTTATTCTTAAATTGACATTAATCACCCGTGAAACATTTTTGACAATGACAGTCAAAGGTAATATTCGAGTTCATACTATTAGTATTATTAAGCATGTAGCATTGACCATTATAATGACAAACATCATTCGTGCATATATCTTGTGCCAATATACAAGTCGTAAGAAGGAGAAACAAATATGAAACAAACATCATATTAGTTATATATGTTTATTCTAGAAAGATGAAACTAAACCGAAGACAATCATATGTACGGAAAGAATTCGAATTTTATTCCATCAATTTTTCACTTTGTTGTTCCTTGAAATTTAGCGTAACGTTCTACTATATTAACATGATCTTACTGGCAGACTTTTTCTGTGTTTTTTATTTTGTATCAAATGTGATAAATGTTTTATCGATTTCAAAACTGAAGAGTCTTGAATATGTTTTGTAACATTTTTCGATTGAAATATGATAGAGATCCACGATTTTCATCATTAAAACAAGTAAATCATAGCAGATCAGTTCATATATTACAGACCTATTAGATATATTTTCTATCAAGCTTATTGAGAAACAACGTACCACATGTGATCATCGAATTGACTTTTCATTTTCAGCAATATCTCAGAACAGCCAATTGGAGATCAACAAATTTTGAAAGTACTACACTTTCAACTGTAGTATTTTGAAAGTTTCAAGCATCCAACGTATATAATAAATCGATACTCCTAAATCTACTTTCTCCAATAGTGAAAGTTTGCACGTCTCTATCTCATTTCAATGAAAAATGTTTCAAAGCATACTTACGGCTCTTCTGCTAGGAGATATACTAATATAATAATTGATCAGACGAAGGAACAAAAAGCAGATTTGAATCTACTTTACGGGTTAAAAAATACTCAAAATTAGTTTTAGAGTGCCTAAGAAATCTTGAAATATTTCGAAACACGTGGAATCGTGCAATTCTTCATGAAATTATCATCTGTTTTATAGTACATTTTTAAATGCTTTGAAATATGGCAAAGTACAGGAAAATACCAGAAAATACAAAGCACACTTTTCTCCCTTTCAATCAAAGTAATGATTTTTAAACGATTTCGACTGAAATGTTCATGAATCACAAGTCTAACACAACGCCATACGTCGGTCTGAAGCGCAAGCTTTTCTGAATCTTGAAAAGTTAGAAATTTGGACTTCGCACGATTGTTTTAAGATTTGTGATGTGTAATACTTACGTACAAGGTGATATCAGGACAGATTTTTTAAAGCGATATCGGATCAGATGTCATTTTATAAAGCGCCATAACTTTAGACATGTAAATTTTCAGCCGAATGTTCGCTAAAGGATATTCTTAGATAAATCGTAGAAAGGATTTTAAATCAAACTACATAGTATAACAATCTTAAATTCACATAACGCAATGCCCCTTGATATTCACAAAAACCGCTGAAATAACTACAGATCATCATGTTTCGATAATTTTTCCCTTCCTAACGAATGACTCCAAAAAGGATCAGTCAAAAATGGCACCAAGAGTTTTTTGGTCAAGTTTGACCCCTCTTTTCCACGGTGACAGCATTATTTGTGAATGATGTGAAAGACTTATCGTACTCGAAATTTCAGAGTTTCTTCTCTCCATTCGAATTGACTCTGATTCATTTTCCTCGATAGATTTTCTGCTTTGATCCTCTATGTAAAAGTGGATTCTAATGACTGAATAAAAATACTTTAACCTTTCGTTACTGCTGTGGGGTACGAGTGGATCCACTATACAGTTTTTTCATCTAGTACTACGCTAGCATTTGTTATTTTGGATCATTTCTTTTATCTGATCTCTAGTCTCTTATTATTGTATAATATCCTTACTAGAGATTGTGAATAGCTCTAAGAGGAAGAAAACGTAGGGGTGGGTCCACTTGGACTCCACAACAATAATGGTGTTATCGGCAATATTTTTGGGCTTGCTGAAGCTGAATGTGGGTATGCGTGTGTCGGTGTGAGTCTTCTCTTCAACTACACCTCATATCCCCATTCAAACTGAAATAAGAACAGCTCCATCATTGTGATAGAAAAACTTCAATTTTATAGGTTTTTATAATTTTGAAAAAAAAGAAGGTGAAAATAAAGATAAACAAAAAGGAAACATGTCCCATTTTTATCTACAGACCACCGTGTATGTTTATATATGAGCATATTTCTCCTGTTCTAGACTAAAGTGATGGAATCTATTATTTATTGAATTAGTTTCTAATGCTGTTATAAACACGGTTTCAATCAACACATTTTCGACATTGTATACTCTCATATTGCCACTATGGAAACTGGCATATCAGTCTCTATAAGAAGGGTATTTATAAGTCTATAGTACATAAATGAATAGCTTGGATAAAACAATGGTATCGGTTTTTTGTCATTTTCTATGCATGGGTCTAGGTGGTCTCCACAACAGTAGCGAAGTTTCAAAATTAGAACGGTAACGAATGGTTAAGTAAGTAAGTATTCTATGCAAATGTTTACGAGTTACTTCAATAACTTCCAACGAAAAATAGCATTCTCTGGTACACAACCCGAAACTCGTATCTACGGTGATTATTTTAGAGACTCATAATAAGTTATCTGCTATATTAAGACGAGAACTATCGTTTAGACAAGTAAAAATTCCGAAAGTTCCTTTGAGCGGCCAAATACAGATAGATCCTACCAGTCAGTAGAATTGAACTTGATATCATTTGATATATCGCATTGGGTGTGGGTGAATGAAGAGAAGACGTGGAATCCAAGCCCATAATCACCCAAACCCACACCTACATCCTATTTTATACATTTTTCTTTATGAACTAGAAGTGTACGATCAAGTCGGCGACTTGGCCTAAGAACATCTTTCAGAACAGAACATGTTGGCTGATTCCACTATCATCAGAATGTGGAAAGAATAATTTCTGGTCTAAGGATGCGAATGATAAGAAAAAAATGTTATTATCAGTAGTCTGTTGTAGGCAGAGAACAAACAAAATTTCTAAATCATTCATTAACTTTATTTTTGCTAATCGTTGACAATGTTTGATAGATATAGGTCAAATCAAACTTTTGTTGCCTGAATGACTCTTGATAGAGTACATGTTATGTTTATATTTGAATATAATTAAATCATCTTTTTTTCTTTTCTTATATAGAAGATGACTTAAAATAGTACAATAGCGAAGATTGCATCGAGGTGCAGCTGGTAAATTGAATACGAAAAAATCCTGACCACAATTGGTAATTTGTATATCGATTGTGTACATACAGAATCTTGCTGTTGAACCTGTTATTACAAAATCAAAACAAACTGAAGCTTGAACTGTTGTTCCAAGTGTTGTTGGATACGTAAAATTTTTTAACCATCCAGGTACAACTGCACCACAATGTTCTAAATAAGGTGGTTGTACAGTTGGAATTATCATTGAACGTCCATTATTTGTTCCATCAATGAATCGAACCCAACCAAGATTCTCGTCATCACAACTTCGAGTTGCATTATACAGAATATGACGTGTTGGATCATCTATGACAGTGTGATTTGAGCATTGGAGTGGTAATACAATATTTGTCGTCGTTAATTCCTCAGGTACAGTTGGTACTATGGTACTGGTTGATTCTTCTTAATATAGGAAAAGATTATTAAAAAGTATAGACCAAATTATTACTAGTCACAATCTCATTAACACAGTATCTAGAAATTTTTCTTATAGAATGTGCACTACGTCGTTTATTAAAACAATATACTTTTACATCTTATTAGATTGCCTTTTTTTAAGTTGATTCTAATCTAAACAATCCTTCAAATTGTAAATCAACAATAATATCTTACTGTCGGGTTTTGGAACATTATCACCAAAATCACACACTTGTTTTTGTTGATTCCAAACGAGATTTGCTGGACATTGAAGCAAATAACCAATGCCATTCGAACATTGATAAAAGGAATGTGGATCATCCGGATTTGCCAGAAGAGCTCCATTTGGATACGGTTCACAATTAAGTCCTTCAAATACAATAGAAAAAATTTGACTACCCTTGTCATCTGAAGTGTTTGTTTTGCTGAAAATGGACTATTGATTCTTGTTGATGTAAGCAATTAGTGCAAATCTTATGAATTTTGTGGCGATTGAGATGATCTATGTGTGAGATCAGATATTGAAGTAAATTAATCGATGCAACCGAAAGACAAAAAAAAATGATAACTAAAATTGAAACGTTGATTTAGATGTAATGAAGTTAGATCATTCAAACGACTGTACTATTTTTATGACACGCTTGAGATGAATATTCAGACATCCAGGCAAAAAACAACGGTTGTCTTTCGTTCTCAGTGAAAAAAAACAAGTCTTGACAAAATTTCTCAAAAATTCCTACAATTTTGTATATACTTGATTATTGTCACTCGAAAAATGTATCGAGATCCTTGGGCAAAGTCTTGCAGATGTCTAATCAAATCTTATCCAAATTCTCGATTACCCATTGAATCGTATGACTAAACTCTACTACATTACTTCTCAAACATATAAAAACATTTCTTACCGCGAGGAGTTTCTGCTGCTGACAAACAACAGAGAGCTATGACCAAGATTGCACAAACGAAATAGTAGCAGTTCATCTTTGGTATTCAATGATAGTTCCTTACAGTGTGATACGTCGATTATATTTTTCACTTAGAGAACTATACAAAAAAGCAAGATAGTCTTAGAAGAACAGCTGCTTTAGAATATTATTGTTTCGGTTGTGTACTATTGCATTACATTGTTAAGCCTCAATTCGAAAAAAGTATTACTTTAATTTTCTTTGGTTTTGGAAAGCTTTTCGATCGGTAAAGCAAAAAGAAATACTACAAAGTATCGAGTCTCACCACCTGGATCAGACTATGAAGCAATAATATTCTATCAATGTTTTTTATGATTTTATTCACATATCTATAATTCATTTTATCGAACTTCTTAAAAGATGTTCGCGCGTCTCTTCACTCTCATTCACACCATCAAACAGATTACATATTATAGCATGGGTGTAATCATCAAGTGCTTAGTTGTTTCTCTGCCTTCATACATGTTTCCTGTTGACACTTTCAGTTGAAGTGTCCCTTCGTTGCATTGCATTCGAAAAAATGATGTACCATCAGCTCACGTATTGCCACAGTCATTTCATATGCGATTCTATGCTCTCAGAGGTTCAGTCTTGCTTGGAAACAATACAGAATCATTCGCGATTCGGATTGATGCTACGAAAAAAAAAAGAGGAAAGTTGGAAAGAACGATATGAAGAATAACTCTTATAGTTCTTTTCAACGAGTATGAATGTAGGTGTAGGTTTAAAAAAAAGACGTACAGCCACAGCCATAGCTTCAAATAAAAACCGGTAGGCTGAGAAGAGGAGCAAAAATCGCACAGTACTCCTGAAAAACAACACTAGGGGAATGACTTTGTCAAGAAGAAAAGTAATCTAGAAGAGACAATATGAAAAGAAAAAACAGATGCTTGATCATCGTGCATTGATAAATGAGAAGGAGAAGAAAAATCTTCTATTAAAATAAAAAGTTATCTTACAGCTGTTTGAGAGCTGAACTGATGCTGAACGAATAGAAACGAGACCAGCAGGAATGTAGACATCATGAAATGCCTACTCACAATTATTTGTTTTTGACCAAGAACAGCATAACATATGCGACTATGATTCTTATCTCATCCGTATGATAATAAGCGATTGCTTCATGATTATTACATCGATTTCAATATAAATAAAACCGACACAATCAATGAAATGTCTAAATTTTTGATTAGAATCAATTTTTCGCGTCAGTTTTTTACATGGTTTTCAGTTTCTTTTGATTTTCAAGGTGCAATCTACTTCAGTCATATACAATTAGAATGAAAGATAAGACTTCGAATAATTTTGATTCGACGGTTGTTGTAAATGGAGTCTATCTTCACAAGTAACTAAATGGGCAATTGGTTATTGATACTAGTCAACAATGTTAGTATTCGTTTGACAGAAAACAAGTAAATGTGAAGAGTAGTTCAAAGTTATTCTGATAGCTCTTTGTATAAGCTATATATCCATAATAGAACAGTTCATTTAAAATACTGTTTTGATTTTACGAAACTAAATGCAAATCTTCTATTGTTGGCATTATGGACCAGTGTTATACATGTGTATTAAGATTGTCGTTTAGTTACTGCCAACGAAACGTTCTTCAAAATTTGTTCATATTTGATTTGATAAAGCTTATCAGGCGCAGCTCAACTAATTCTTGTTCAGAGTCTAAAAATATGGGCAACTAAACAAAAGTTTCAAGGACACTATTCTTGAGACATGATTTGTAGCTTTTTTTTAACTGATATTGGATGAAATTCGAGCAGAAGAAATTTCTGTAACTTTTTTTCGGTCAAATAGTCATTCACACCCTGACCATTGGATAGTTTATATTGCAAGTTGAAAATGGAGTTATTTGACACATGAAATATGTCATTTCAGTCAATGTGAGAGTATAAATCGTTTATTATGGTACATTTGATAGTCTGGAAGTATGATAGTGATCTACAATAGTTTTTAATTTTTATACTTTATTGTTTCAAATATCTTATCTTACTAAGTATTGTTTTATTCTTTGATCATAATCATAGTCATTTTTGTCTTTAAAATAAGTATCAATGTCATAGATTGGAAATTACATGAATTCATCCATTTGTAAATATATTATCCGTTTCGTTTCTTAAGTGATGAATTATTGGATCAATTCAAATCTATTAGAAAGTATATTGTCATAAGAATAATTGTTTATTTAATCAGTTTGTTCTGTACATGAAAATTCTCTCATAGAATCTTAAGAAAAGCAGTGTAACGCTTTTTAAAAAGTGTACTTTCAACAATATATCTTTGCAAAAATTTGCTTCGCTCATTTTTATCAACTTTTATTCTCTTAGATTTGAGAATGAAAATTTACATCAATAATGAATCACAATACCATAATATAAAAACCAAAGATTTTTTTTTCGTAGATATCGATATATTTCTAGGTTAGGCTTTTATTCTTATTAGTAGTTATAGATTGATATTTTTTAATTCTTGTGTATTTTTCTTTGATGAAGATAGATTATCAATGCATGTATAACACCAGGAATCTAAATAATTAATAAAGATAGCATAAAAATTAAATGCAAAATCTTACCCATCCCATGAGAGTCAATAGAATATTTAACCAGAATTGAAAATTTTTCAAAGTTGGATTCATTAAAATGATAGCAAGTGGAGGCAAGAGGAATATGAAGACAAAAATAATGTATTTAAAAAAAAGCTCAGCTTGTATACCCATTGCCGAACAACTCATGGTTTTATTTTTCTTTAAAAAAAAACAAAAGAACAGATCTGAATAAAAAATAAAAAAATAGGTTCGACTTTTGTTTTAGATAAAAATTTGTGAATAAATAGTTCTGAAAAATGAATTTGATGTCCTTGTCATATACAGGCAACAATGAATCAACAGTAGATAAATGGTTGCGTATAGCTTGTGTGTTGACCATGACTCAATATATATATGATTACTTAGATATGATTTCACAGAGAAGCAGAAGAGCAAAAATAAGTATTTACTGATAATGTTATATGACTCATGTCAAAGTCATGACAATACGAATAAAAAGAAATCAAGGTTGTATTCTACTCAAGAAACAATGAGATATTATTAAGGAAAAATGAAATACTTCATACGAAACGAAAAGAATATTGTATTTCCATTGATCATAGATTTTCTATCTATTGCTATCATTATTCCGATCTAATTAATATATGTTAATCATACTTATATTATTATTAAAAGTCGTATCATGAATGACAGTGACTGAGTGAATTTTCAACTTTTGATTCTACTGATAAACGATATCAATATTTTCTTAAACCATTTTATACTGATATTCATCTTGTTGTGCTTCTATCCTATCTATCGAAAAAACTCGTACCTAACCTTGAGGGTGAATGAACTGGCGATATTCCGAATGTTATATTTTCCATTCTTGAATATCATTCTAATCAATGGAGGGTGTGAATGGGTATGGGTGAAGAGAAGATCCACTCACACACCCCACACATAGACTTGTGTTCGACGCTGTCCTCTATTGCATGGTGAAAATCTCAGGTGGCTAGGATTTTTTCTTCAAAAATTATAAGCTTTTTCTTTCAGCTGTCTTTTTTAAAAATTTCGATAATAGCTCGATTATGATCGAGGATGAGAACAGATCATAGAAATAGAAAGTGACACTATTTTACTGAAGATGCATCTACAGATGATGAGAAATGATATGACGAAGTAATTGAATACGTGCAAAGGAATCCTGTGTCACTTGCATTTTTTGTTGTTGCTGACTATGAAAGAAACTAAACAGTATTCTTTTTCATATAAAGTAAAAGTTCGAAAACTCTGTAAAAGATATCCGCCGAATGTCGATTAGCTTCGGTGGATGTGGGTGTGAGTATTGTCGAAGATAGAACACCCACACCCATCTATTATTTCTATTGATTATTCTAACGCGATGGAAAAAAATAGTAATGTTTAAAGCAATGCTGTTTATTCAGAGGTTACGTGGAAAAGCTCCTTCACAATACTATTAACAATAGAAATCAATGGTAGCAGATGATATTTTGATTTTTCTCTATCATCTACGATTACCATGAGTTTTAAAAACACCTGACATGCAAGAACATAAGATCGAATATTTTCGATTTTTCAAACAAGACCTTTCTCAAATCTGTAGAATTGATGGAAACTTGGTTCAGACTTGATTTAATTAGATTTCATAATACTATTACAGAGTTGTTTAACAAATGAAGTATTTCTTAGATGATCTATCCAAGCTTCCAATAATTATATTTGTTGTGTCATGAATATGATTTTACTGAAATAAATAGAGAAATCGAATACATTGAGATTTCAATAAATAAACCTTATTTGTAGGCTCTAGAAAAAATTAATTATTAAGTTGACAGTGACGGTATGAGTGTGGATGTGGGTCTAGTTGAAAAAATATCCTCATTCACACCCAAACAACAGCGAAATCATCAGACAACTTAGAAAGAAAATGTACAATTTCATATTATTATTTTTCAGATTTAGCTATTGAAATTAGTTGTAAAACACATTTTTTGAAGGATGAATGTGAGTCTTATTCTCCTCTCTATTCATATCCAAACCATCAATCAGACAACAAATGGAATCGATTTGGTAACCAGTTGATTTCGTAATGAACTCAGCCATATTGAAATCGATGAAAACTATCATCGGTGTATATATATGCATTCAACTGATGAGATCAAGTTAAAAATTACTGATTTAAAACTCTACTTTTTGTTGTTTTTTTTTTATTTTCTAAAGGCAAAATGAAACAGTCTTGTTATTGAATTGTATTTATGAAATAATTTTAATAAGTTTATTTCGAGATATAATTCATTCAAAGCTAGAATAAATTTTTCAATTCTTTGTTATAAAAAATATATAAACACATTGAAAAGTCTTATATTTTCTTTCGAAAAACGGGTCAATGAATCCTTAGGATGAGTACTACCTTGTTTTTTTAATCTACAAAAGGAAGATTGAATAGATACAAAAAAATAAATAAATGTTTAAGAACGAACAACTTTTGATATAATGAATATCGATACACCAACTATAATAACAAATCCAAATTTCTTAATGATAGATGATTTATGTTTTGTTTGTTTTTCTTTATTATATAAATCCATAAAAAACTGATATGTACCTAATTTAAATAAGTGATAACCATCATATGGAATCACTGTTCCATGTGCCATAATAAGGCGATTAAAATTTTCATAACGACTCATTAACTGATCAAAATCATTCTTAACTAAATCAATTTTTTTTCTAAAAAAATATTTATATGGTTTTGTAACACAAGCTTGATGATAACCATCAGTTAACCAAAGATAAAATCGTAATAAATAACCTTCGGCTCGAATAACTTGTTCACCTAATTCACTATAATTAAATGCTAAATCAGTTAATATTAATGTTGATGAAGGTTTATGATAAAAAATAACTTCATATAACATTTCAACACTGTAAAAACAATAATAACTTATTTCATTATATGGCCATTCAATCGATTTATCCATTAAACAATTTGTATTATTTGATAAACCATTATTTGTAAAATAGGCATCAATATATTTATTGAATCTATCATCATATTTAACACCTTCTGTTGCAATTAAATATGAATTTGGATATTCTTTTAAAAATGCTAATGCCCAAAATGTATGATGTTTATTTGGAACAACTATGTATTTAACTTCACCTTAAACAAATATAATATCTTGGCTATTTCTTATAGAAGAAAATTAAGCATTCAAAGTGAATTGATCAGTAGAGAAGAGAAGATGCTTAACTTTGAGAATTGGCTACTAAACCATTATACCGAAAAATAGATTATTACAGACGAAAATTTCTTTGGTTTGAATCGGGTTTACAAAACATTCAGAACGGCCGAATGTGGACAATCAACAGAAAATAGGTTAACAAGTAGAGCCCATCCAGTTCAACAATTTCTGAACTCAGATCTAATTAATTCAAAATTTTCAGACCTGAATTCGAAGAGCTCAACTGACAAGAAAGATACTGCAACCTGAGAAAAGAAAATCTGCAGAAAAGGTAATAGTGTGACTAAGGCCATGCCGTTAACATTATGTGGCTATAATACGTTAGAAAATAACTAGACAGTGTCAGACTTAAGTCAAAAATAGTGTGCTCATCATTTTCTTGTACTCATTTTAAAGAACCGTTGGGCATAGAAATTCATCTAATTTATCCCCATTAACCTATACTTTATGGAATGAACTGATTGAAGCAATAAATTGAGATGTCATAACAACAATAGTAGCATTGATAGACGAAATAAAATGTTCTGTACAAGAAAAAATGAAATACTTTAGAGATACTGCAGTTCATTTTCCTGTGCGATTATATTGGATTCAGAAAAATCGAGAAAATCCTATTCATTAAATGAAGTGAATCACAATATACAGAATTTTAAGCACTATCTTTCCAGAAAAAAAACACACCTCGATAACATGAAAGATACCAGAGAAATTTAAAAATATTAATAATGCAATTATTCATAGGCGATTGGTTTATTCAACTTAACAAAACTTCTAATGAATAGAGTTTTCTCCAGTTTTTTGAATTAAACACAAATTTACATCGACAAAACATTTCCTTTCTCTATCGATGTTATCTTAATTGTTTAATAATCCAATTAGATAGCTATCATCAATTAAATGCATAAACTGGTATCTAATGGACATTTATTCGTGTCATCACATTAACCGGTAATTTCGTCTTGTCATAAACATAATTTCCCTGGGTACCTTCGCTTTGTTCAGTCTACAGCCACACTTACTTGATAGACTGAACAAAGTAAAGCTAATCATCGAGATTCATGTAATATCAAAGACAGTATCGATAGAAGTAATAATTTATGTTCGCCGCTGAATAAAACGCGGATAGGTGTAAACTGGATAACTTGATAATGTTAAAAACTAATGATCTTTAAGTTCCACTGATCGATATAGAAGGCATATCTTCGCAAAACATTCAAAAAACTGATTGACAAAAAGATATTCTGCTGCAACGAAATTTTTAATTAAAAAACATCAGAAAATTTCGTTGAAAGTTAATAAAATTCTGTATAATTTGAACAAATAGATATTCCATCGACTCTCCTTACTATTGAAAAGTGAGAGGATAATCATTTGACTCGTTCCTTATACTACAGATCTGGGATCATTGTATGTAACTCAAGTGTCAATAGCAAAGTAACATTGAAACGGAACATTTTTTTCTGAATAATTTTCAAACGTCATAGATTTTTTCTAATGAAACATAAAGACGTCTCAAAGTCTTCTCTATCGATTACTGACACTCATTGGTCGCTAGATATTACCGTTGTTGAATTCTTGCACTTACAGTCAACCTTCTTCAATTCTGCCGTAGACATTAGATGACATTCAAGCTCGACTAGAATACACAATTCGATGCAAATTACAGATCTGAAGTTTCGTAATGCAACGCATAATCAATTCTAGAATAAAAGCCGAATAACTTTGTCTGTCAATTTGTTAACATTCTATCGGAAAAAAAAATTCTGAATGTTTGTCAAATCGAAAAATTAGCATTTTCATCAATTAGGACAAACGTAACAAATAAATATAATAAAATTCATCACAATAAGGACTCTATAAATCTATATCGACATATTTTCAGAGTACCCTGTTCATTGATAATTTAATTCTCCCGATATGATTGATTGTTTATAATCAATTGTATTTACATACGAATAGAGAGATAGATGCGTAACTCTTGTTTAATTTCTATTAAAGATAAAAACTTACCAATTTCGGCTAATAAATTTTTAATAGTACTTGTTGGTGGAAATGGTGATATAATAACTAATTTATTTGTTTCTTCTAAACGTATTATTGTCATACGACTTGGAATTCGAAAAATTCCATAAATCATTGTTAATGATCCATCATATGTCCACAAATTTTCATGATGACAAACCAAATTAGTTGCTGTTGATCGAAATGAATCAACCATTTTGTTTTTATTTGAAAATAATATCTACAAAAAAAAAGATTTCTCCATGAAAGAAAACAAAATTTTTATTTTATATTTTTTCAAATGTATCAAATAATTCAATTAATAATTTAACTATATTGGACAAGACTTTCATTTTTATGTGGACGAAAAATAAAATATTTACTTTTTAATAATTGTTGATTCTTCAACTGGGTTTAACTTTAATAGAGCAAAATTATTTTTATCCTTAAACTAATAAGAATTTCTCTTTCATGATGTGAACATTAGTCCAATTTTTGTATTTCGTATTGTAATCTTCACATATATTTTATTACAAAATAGGATATATCACAAAATGCAACACGAAAAGCTTTAAAATCTATAAAGTAAAGCTTATTTCAATCCTATCTTTTTTGTTTTTAAAAGCTAGTTTTATTTAAAATAGATAAGTAAAACTAAGATAATAATTCAATTTTATCGAAAAATAATAATAAAATGTTCCTATTATTAAAAAAAAGTCTCTTTTTATACAAGCGAATATTTCAAGAATAATGACTATTATGTATTAAAAATAATATCTCATCGATTTGACAGATTATCAATTTAATTTTTCTATCAAAAGATGTATCTTTCAATTGTCTACAAATTTATATTGAACACACGAGGAAACTATTAAAAATAGCAAATAGATCTCAAGAAAAATAAAAACTAGATAAATTGTCAACTACCCAACGAAAAATAATCTATCTTTGTATAGGATGAGTTATGAATAAACTTAAGATGATTATTTTAAAGTGTATTACTTTGAAAACGTCTTTTCGTATTCTTTAGTTCGACACTTCAATAAGAAAAGGATATTATTCAATCAAGAAACAGATTTTTGACAAATCTTTCTTTTTATTTACTATTTCGTTGTCTATACTATTGAATAAGAGCTTTCATTTCATTGTACTACCTTTGAATTTTTGACAGTATAACAGTTGTCAATTTTTCAAAAAAATGGATTGACACAGAATTATATGTATATATAATGTAACTTGAATGTGTCGGTATTTTCGCATATACTCACACCCTGGGATGATCCTCAGTTTCGTCATGAACGCTCTCTAAAAGAATTTTGATTTTCAAGCAAAAAATCTTCTTGAATAAGAAGTTCTTAAGTAGTGAACCAGAAAGAATTTGTTGTAGTTTAATAGAAAATGTATTTTGTTCAGTTTCGGAACGGCTAAGTATTGACGGAAAAGGAAAAAAACACCTATGAACTTTTTATTTCGAAACTTGACTATTTTCCCAGATTTTCTTTATCTTGAACTTTCTGAGTTTTTTTTAGTACCATTCTCAGTGATTATATTGAATGACTTAGAATAAAATCGGCTGTTTATATTTTTAAGATTTTTCTTTGTGTTGTATTTTAGAGTTCGAACATTGAAAATTCTATGATCGATTTGTAGAGAATTGAAAAACAATTGAACCAATAGCGTCTAAATATCAGTTCGATTACTCCGAAATAACGAATTGCAATTAGTTTTGTAATAACTGTTAGTTTTTGAAAAAGATAATAAATAGGCATAGAAATAAAATCTTATCTAGCAAATATTATTAAATCATCTATAAATGATCAGTTAAACATACTTTAATGATTAAATCGAATAACTAATATGATCAAGAAGAATTTCTTTTCATAAATGATTAATATTTACAATTAAAATTTTCGATTAGATCAAAATCAATAAAAGAAAATCTTAAAGAAAAAATAATTATTAAATTATTTACTAATTGATTTTAACGATTCAATTTATCAAAATATTCTATGAAAAAAAAAGAACATTAGATATTTCTATCAATTATGATATGATCAGATTGAAACAATTATTAAATTACTCTATTAACCTTACAAGTTTTTCATTAAATATATAGATATATTTAATTGTTTGATTTGAAGCTAGAAGTGAAATCGCTTAACGCATACTATAATCTATTCGAATTTTAATTATAGTTCTTAACAGATTTATTGTTTATTTTTAATTGAAAGAATATTTATTATTAAATTACCGAGGTTGCTATTTTAAAGAATATTATTTTTAAATAAAAAAGAATTTTATTATTTTTATAAATGGAGCCAAAAAAAACGAAAAAAAGATTAATTAAATTGATTCGATAAAAAATTAATATAAAAGTTCTTTTTTTTTTAATCTTCAACAAATGATTGAAAACATATCTTCGTGAGTTATGACGTTTTCAAAAGATAAATAAAAATTCAAGGAAAAAAGTGTTACACAATATATCATTAACACATCAAAAAAACCTGAATCTCTGAACTGAAAGAACGAATAATGATATATTGAAGTCTTTATCTATTGTCTTGTTGGTGGCAGAAAAATAACAATAAGATTTATTTAAAATAAAACCAATCGATAGAAAGGTCATCTGAATCATCTAATGTAAGGAATCACAATCTTTTTGCAAAGGAAAAACGTCGTTGTTCAAAGGGAATGACGAAAAAAAAAGAGATTAAATTGTACCAAGAAAAAAGAAAAATATTCATCTATTAGGGAATAAGACTTTGTCTACATTTCAATAATAATTCGGTATTAATTTCGAAGTAAATATACATGCATGCACACTTATGAGTTTTATGTGTCAATCAGAACTGAGACATGGCCACTATAATGTAGTCAATGTGCATAATTCTAGCATGGCTCCACGAAACAAAATGTCGCTTTTGTCTCACTTTGATAAATAATGATTGACTAATAATAATTGTTGAGGAAATATCAATGTAAGATTGTCAAAATGAACCAAACTGGAGTCCATATTCCATATTTCACTACGCTTGGCTAATAATGTGAAACAGCTTTCGAAAGATGTCGTATGTAATCCAGTAATTGTTTCCATACATTCTTCTTCAACTCTTCTCGTACTCTCCAATATCAATTCATGAAGACGTGTAAAAATTCATCGAATTTGCTTTGTATTTAAAGAATTATTTTCAATTGTTTATTTTACAAATAAAAATCAAAAATACAACCTAAGTATCAAATTACTGTTGTTATCACAAGTTTTTGCTATATAAGACGAACCTAAAGAATCTAGCAGCAACATATTATCAAGTGTTTTTCAATTATGTTAAGCGTCTAATTCAAATCCAGATAGTGGTTTTAACAGTCAATGTACAAAAGTATCTCAACATTGCACGACATCCAATATATATGTATCGATATAAAGTTGGAATTGTGAGTGTGATTATCTTTACAGTTCTGAATTCATACCTTTATAAAGCAAACAAAGAAGGAAAAAGACAAATTCATAGTTTCTTCTTTAATTCGTCTATATTGCTTATCAGCAGTTGAATGTTAGGATGTATTGGTGGAAGTGACTTTTGAAAGATAGCAAGTGCTTTTCTAAAAATGAAAGTGATTTTGAATAATCGCTCATGCAATTATATATTGTACCAATGTTGTCGTAGGATTGAGCGAAATCATGATGATTTGGAGGTACAATGATTTCTTTGATTTCTTGTGCTTTCGAGTAATTCGCTAGTTTTCTATCAGAGGTGTCCACAGGGCAGGGTAACCCTGCCCTGTCCTGTACCCTGCCCTGCCCTGAGCAGGGCAGGGTGCAAAATTTCATTTTTTACCCTGTCCTGCTCAGGACAGGGTGAGATAGGACAGGGTACAGGACAGGGCAGGATGAAGTCTTCATACCCTGCAAATTTGAACATGAAATTTTGAGATTTACAACTCCAAAAAAGGCGTTTTTTGAGTCGTTGAAAGACAAAAATCGAAAATATATTGCAGAGGACGGCACCAGCTGGTATTCAGCGTTTTCCTCTATAGATATACAGGGTTGCTAAAAATGTTGTTTCCAGGGAGTAATACTATAATTTCAAATAGTATACATAACTAATTTTATACCAAATGGAAGCGCGTCGAAAATGGGATTTATTGGTATTAAATAGTAAAGACTGTGAAAACCTTTTCATGTCAAACTTATGGTATTTTCAGAAATTGTATACCTTTTTGATATAGAAAATTGAGATGTCATTAATTCTAAAACGGAGTAAAATTTTTTGTCTTGGATACTTTTACATGGTTCGATAGAGCTCGTCGAGCTCTACAAAAGTGCATAAATTAAAAAATTTGAAATGTATATTTTAGAAATAGAAAATCCAAAACACTACTTGGAAAATCTCAAAAAAAAGATTAAAAAAATTCCTTTTTTCTCTGTGAAAAAACATGTGATTTTTAAATAATATTAACTTTTTTTTCATTATTTTTACTATCTCAGACGTTTCGAAATATACTCATTAGACGCAGGTTTTTACGCTGCATTGAAAGGGTACATTTCGAAACGTCTGAGATAGTAAAAATAATGAAAAAAAGTTAATATTATTTAAAAATCACATGTTTTTTTCCATAGAGAAAAAAGGAATTTTTTTAACATTTTTTTGAGATTTTCCAAGTAGTGTTTTGGATTTTCTATTTCTAAAATATACATTTCAAATTTTTTAATTTATGCACTTTTGTAGAGCTCGACGAGCTCTATCGAACCATGTAAAAATATCCAAGACAAGAAAATTTTACTCCGTTTTAGAATTGATGACACCTCAGTTTTCTATATCAAAAAGGTATAAAATTTTTGAAAATGCCATAAGTTTGACATGAAAAGGTTTTCACAGTCTTTACTATTTAATACCAATAAATCCCATTTTCGACGCGCTTTCATTTGGTATAAAATTAGTTATATATACTATTTGAAATTATAGTGTTACCCCCGGAAAAAACATTTTTGGCAACCCTGTATTTTTTTTGTTCTTTTCTTATTCTTAATTATTGTAATTGCCATACTTTTTGTTGTTCTTTTTTTGTTAAATATTATTTTCAAAAGAGGTTCTATGTTAAAGTTTATAAATCTAACGTGTGTGGGTTGTATCATCTACTTCTCTTGTCTTTTGGTGATACTCATGTAATTTGTTAGCGGGACGATGAGTTACTATTATTGTAAAATGTCTTTAAATAAACCAATGTTCTTTGGGATCATGTAAAAATCTTATTGTTTTTGAAATCGATTGAAAAATACGATCGAAACAGTATACCAATTCTGTGGGTTTCCTCCTTACCGTACCCTAACCCTCTTCCTTACCCTAGAGTAGGACAAAGTGCGCTTTTTCTCTCATGCTTTTTTGTCAACAGGGTGGAGCAGGACAGGGCAGGACAGGATGCACAAAAAGGCAGGGCAGGGCAGGATGAGCGGTGGAAAAGTGGAGGCAGGACAGGACAGGACAGGGTATATATAGAGCAGGACAGGACAGGGCAGGATGAAAAAAATCACCCTGTGGACACCTCTGTTTTCTATGCACTATACCAATGCTGCTGTAGGAACCAACCAATGAAGGATGATTTGAAGGGAGAGCTTTTTTCCAGATTTGACATGCCTTTTCGTAATATTCAAGTGCTTTTACATTGTCACTTATACTATCACATACTGTACCAATATTGTGATAGGAACTAGCCAATGAGGAATGATCTGCAGGCAGAGTTTTTTTTTTAAAACTTTAAGTGCCTTTTCGTCCAATTCAAGTGCTTTCGAGTAATCACTGATGGTGATATACACTTCACCGATATTGTAGCAGGTACTAACCAATGTTGGATGATCTTTCGGGAGAACTTTTTGGTTTATCTCGAGAGATTTTTCATGAAATGAAATTGCTTCTTTGTATTTTCCTTAGTCCTTCTTCACAAATCCAAGCTGTTGATAGATAAATGCGGGTGTGGATGTGGGTTTACGTGTTACTATTCTCTTCACCCGTACCCATAGTCACATCCTCCAGACGCAAAAAAATCATCTTCGAACAGACTTAGAAAAATGGATAGATAAAAAGAATCATTTTCGATATTTTAATTATGTAATTTTATAGGCCCATGGTTTATGTATTTTGTATTAAAACAATCAGAAACATAACATGAGTAGAACACAAAAAAATATGAATTTTCATTGTGTCCGAAAACTTTTCGATCATCCATTATTTGAGTTTCCGATGCTACTGATTCGATTAAAAGTCGCTTTATTTGGGCCAGTTGCAACGATCTGGAATGGTCCTGTTACACCTGAACTGTAAGTGGTGACAACAAAATCCATTGTATAAGCGGAAGGAAAATTTATTGCAAATTTGAATTCCCAATTATCACTGTTTGCGTCATCAATTGACCAATATAAATTTGTAGCCGAATTGGATGGATTAAAACTTGTGAAATAGAGAGAGGCAAATGAGTCAATATAGCTGTCGCACTGAAAAGTATATAAGCCACCTGCTGGAACTGTCAATCGAAGATTTTCATAATAGTAATTAGCTCCGAAACCGCCATTGCGAGCGAATTTTGGATGATTGATTGTTAATTGGCTTGAATAGTACGATGGATTTAAAGATGGAGCAACTATAGAACAAAAAGAAGAAAGATTGTCAGAACTCATACTATTGATAGATTGGTAATCATCATTCTTGACAACCATCGGTACAAGAAACTGACATCAATTAGATAAAACTATTTTGTTAATCTGTTTCAGTTACATGGCAATTTTGATAATCAAGATTAGGAACTAGACAAAACTGTATATTATATATGCTTAACAATATGGTTAAAATAAAGATAAAAGGTTTTGCTTCTTGTTCGGGATATAACCTGAAAATCGTTCTATTTTCGTTTTTGCTAGTGCGACCACTTTATTTGTAGAGTTTAATTCATTGCAAGAATCGAATCTAACATGATAAAAACTGAGTGAATATGTATTTGAGTGTTCGAAGCTATTCAATGTGTCAAATGAATTCTCCATTGGCTTAGAGCAATTCAATTTTCACTAACGAGGAAACATTCCCAGGTGTTAGAGC